ACTAACTCATTTTCAAGTGAAAGATTTAGCTCCGCGATTAGCCTTTTTTGTCGCTATTGTGGATTTGGAGTAGACGAGGCACTACTTGGGTTGTATTCCGTATTGTTAGTAAATTCTTCCGAACTTGACTCAGTGTTCTCTAGATCCTCCGTGGTGAATACTTCTTGTCCAATAATTAGTTTATCACCCCTAATTTTTGCTCTTAAACCTTTTATTGTAGCTTCCCTTTTGTGTTTTTGTAATATTTTGCTTTTTGCTAGATCTACAGTGCAAAGGTCAGGGTTGATATATATTGATTTTCCTTTTAGTTTAGGTGCGTTTTGCAGAATGAGTTGTTTACTTTTGGTAGGATATTTATTCCAAAAGTATTGGCGTGTTCGGATTATCTTTTGTAAATGTCGTTGGTTTCTTCTTTCTTCGACAATAGCAACTTTTAGATATGAGTCAAAGAATTTAACTATTTGTTTAATTAAATCGTTACTTTCTGTTTTTAATCCAAATATGACAAGATTATTTTTTTCTTAATTTTCTTTGGAGGGTTAAATTTGTTTTGAATAATTCAGTATTTTGGTGGTCCAGCTCTGATATTCGTTTTTTCCAAGCCGTTTAATGTAGTTTGTATATCCGTTTTTCTACTCCAATTATGGAATATGGCCGTTCTAATATCACTTTTATCTATGGAATGACATTTATTCCGTAAAGTGTTACAGAATGAAATATTCTATCATCTGATGACAGAATATACACTCGTGGCGACATCTCCGTTTTTAATATCTAACAAATTTTAGACCGATCAAACCTCACTTTCTTCCAATTAAATTATTTGTCTATGTTATTTTTTGAAAACGTAGAAAAAGTATAGTCTGAAACACGTTTGTAATTGCATATTCCCCTCTCGTGAAACCGTCAAACTCGCCTTCGGGTCGTGTGACAAACTTTTCACTCGAGCGGAATATGCTGTATTCCAAACTTGTTACAGAATATACTATTTTATACTTTTATTTCCATTTTAATTTCTATTTTAATCTTTTGACTCTTATTTTTTATATTAATATTTAACTTGGAAATGATTTCTGTTATAAAAGCCTTTTGTGGTTTACTAAAATCACCCATTTTGTTCGATACTTATTTTTTTAAAAATTGTATTTCGTGCGTGGACTCCTTTATTTTATTATTGTTTTCCAGTTTAATTTTATTAGTAGGACGTGATTGTTAACTTTTATTTGTTTATAATAATTTTATCTATTTTCTTACTCATGAAATCTATTCATTTACATTTGGCAAAATTGTTCTATTTATATATAAGGTTTAAATGATCATTTTTTGATATTAAGTTAGCGTACCTCTTTAAGTTGACAGTTTATTTAAAGGCCACCACACACTTATGCATGCGTATATAATATCATTACTGAGCAAGACTTCTTTTTTAGTTTTTTTCTTCAGTATCCAACATAATTTCCTCTTTTTTTAAATTGTGTGTGGGAGTTTAGGACACTTTTGTCTTCGTTGCTCCTTTAAGCTTTTGATTAATACACCTAAATACCTCATCGATATGTTGATTCAGCTCCTCGTAATTCCATTCGAAATGATGCATCGATTTTCTTCGTAAAAAAGTTTACAAAACCACTTGTTTCCCGATAAAAAAACGAAAGATGGTCATGTAAAATCTTCCACGTTACCCAAAGTTCGGACCTAAAAATAACAAGTTTTCTTTATTAAAGAAACTTATCCACAAATTCCTGTCTTCCACAATCCACATTGTGCTACTGTTAACCCACCATATAACACAAAATATATATTATATAAACGATAAATTATAAACGTCCATGCAAGTTAAGCAAAAAACGAGGTTATAATCAAAAAGGAATATAATAAGTTATAATTCACCACACCACTGCGCGTATGCTCGAAACACAAAATTAAAAAAAAAATGTTTACACCACATAGGAAACTCATGAGTTATGCATAACATGATCAAAAATCATAACATGAGCTCATCATGATGTTCGCGTGACAAAACGTGGAAATCATAACATGATCTTATTATGAAATCATGAATGTTATCTGGGTTATAACCGGCGTCGGTGGGGTAATGGTCAGGGCCGCTGATCTATATCATTGCGTATGAGGGGACTTTAAACTCGCAGTCCGTTCCTACCCCTAACCCGCACAAGATATTCTGTTGGCTTTTGAAACTTTTTAAGAAGTAAGAGTGTTTACAGCGTAGGCCGTCTACTTATCCCTTTTTCCATGCCTATCTGTTCAAAAATTCCTTGGCATCTAAATCTCGTCGGAGTATTTAGTAAAAAATAATATTTTTCTTAGAATTTTATGTTTAATAATATTAGTCATAGTAGACTATACAATGTCCATAATAGGAAAAAGTATTGATTTCTCCATTAAACAATTATAATTATTGGTCGTATGAAAATATAAGATAAAAAAGGTACACATTTCTTGGTTTCAAAGATCGCCCTACAGAGAAAAAAGATAAAGGATGGGAAAGCTATATTTTTATTTACGAAGAAGCTTGAGCAAAGAAAGGGGTCTCAGGTCAAGTCATATGAGCGACGGGCGATCTTTGATAGTGAATCTAATTTTAAAGGGAAAATTTTATAATCTTTGGGCATATCTTTATTTATTAGAATCAATAAAAACCCTAAAATCGATTTGTCGATGGTTTTTTTGTCAGAAAAGTCATTTAAAAGCAAATAAAATAAAAAAGTACAAATAAATCCCTGACACTGTCTTATAATTTGTTATAATTTTAATTTGTTATAATCCTGTCACTGCAGTATCAGGATTATAACAAATTATAATTATAATATACCTATGTATTATAATTTGTTCAGTTAAAAAAATGAATTGGTTGGTATATTCTAAAAATGTTAAATTAAAGTAACAAACTTTTGAATAATTAGTACAAGATAATACATTTTTTAAACATTTTAAAATAATAAATTTTCCAATGGAATTTTTTTTTGTGATAATAAATGTTGTTATCTGTTAAATGCATATTTTCCATTAAACTAAAACGTACCTATATAATTGCATAATAATAATAATAATAATAAATCATTTATTGCCCATAAAAAAATACAGAAAATAACAAATAAAAAACTAGTTACATTTTTTCCGTAAACAGAATCTGTTATCCATCAACTCCCTAAAATGAAATAAATTTAATTTTATTAATAGTAGATGACAACATTTTCTTATTCTAACAACTTCTTTTTGCGACGATCCATTTATATATTTTTAACATTTTCTTTTTAATATATTTTTAACAATTTTTTTTTAACAATTTATTTTTAATATCAGTTATGTTAAACCTTTTTAGGTGTGCCAGATTATACGACATGGACCTTTTGAATATTTCTTTTTTGTGGCGTGGTATATCTATTGTTTTACGTCTAATGTTTGTATCATGTATATTACCACGGTATTTAATTTTTTTGCTAAATACGCTGGTTTATTAAATTTGATTATTTTATATAAAAAACGGCAAAGAGTTCTTCTGGATGCCATATTTAACCACCCTGCATATCTGAGCTTGTACTAATGTTTTTATACTTACACATTTTTTTACCCGAGAATAGAATAGAATACTTAATATTATATCCAGACAGGGTGGTATAGTACTTTTTGGCAATAATCTTACTCAAAAGAGCCATTTAAAATTAAAAAAATAAAATTATTAGTAATAATTTATTAACAAAATAAAATACGCAACTTTCTTAAAAACATATACTGTTACATTAGGAATCTACCAATTTATTTTGCAGATAAGGTTTGGGTTGGGTTGGTTGGTTACTTTAATAATGACTCGACGCTTTGTTTGCATAGTTGGTACTTGTAGACGTTCTTTCATAAGCGGTTTTATCTATGACCAGTTTTCTTCTGTAGGGTGTTTTTTTTGCTTGTGAAATACTAGAGTCCTTGTTGGTCACCAAGTTCTACTTAAGTTAGTGATCTAGAAGGGGTAAATGACACACTAAATTCTAAAAAATCACCTTGACAAAATAAAATTTAACATACCTAATAACAAATAAATATAACCATAATAAGATATATTTAAGGTTGCCAACAAAAACTAACGATCAGTTTTTGAACAGTAAGCAGTGACTTAAAAAAAACACAGAGACACATCAACTTTAAATTCAAGGGGGACATCTTTTGGAGCGCGTTCGAAAACTCGCAAGAGTGCACTCTGCATACACTCCAAGTTTACCTTGCGCGTTCGATTTCTCTGGTATATACCTAGATATATACAACTGTCAACTATTCTAAAACAGCAAGTATATGCCCAGAGTGCACTCTCGGTTGTCCAAGCTTTAGACTTGGTTAAGTTTTACCCGTCATGCGCATAGGGTACATTAAACAATAATTTGTATTTACATTCATATAATTTATTTATATCTGTTTAAAATTTAATAAAACAAAAACGAAAAACACTAAAATAAAATAACCTATTTAAAATAAATAATAAATAATAAAATTTTAATTCTACAAAACAAAACAAAATCTATCAAAAAAACTTGAATAAACCATATAACTAAAGGGTTAAAATTGAATAATTTAATATTTATATGTATTCAGTCAAAATTTAATAACAAGCAAAACATTGATTTTAGAACACTACAACATAAAGTTTATAGGTATATGCTCCGCGGCGTTCGAAAATAACAAGAAGGTCAGGTATAATGTAAAGTCATGTGATTATATATATATATATCCTTATACCATATCCAAAGTACACTCTCATTTCGAACGCACTCTTGTAGTAGATTTAACTTACAAATCGCTTTACCCCTTCGTGCAGTGATCAAAACCCTTAAAATTGTCTTGCTCCCCCAAATATCAGTAGTGATAATTATGTCGATTTATTTTATACTTTATTTAAATTAATTTAAATTTTGGATTACATAGGTACATAGGTTTATTTTAGTTTATTATTTTTATTAAAATAGGTTTAAAAGATTTTTTACAACATACAACTTAAAACTTTTAAATTATTTTCGGTGACCAATACAAATTATTTTTAGTTTTTAAAAACGTTACTATTACCTCTTATCTAAGAAAACTTAATTTACCATTAAAACACATAATTAGAACAAGCTTAATAAATTGAGTACATGCAGTAGGTATTACTAGTATAAATAAATCCATGAAAACCTTAATATAAACGGTAAAATGAAGTTTATATTGCTAGTATTATTTATTTTAGTAATTTCAGATCTAAAGGTAATAATTTAGAGTTTACTGCTGGTAATATTAAAAATAAAATTATTATATTTAATTAACAAGGGCATGGTCTCCTATGAAATGGATCCAGAAGTTACACTTGAAGATGGAAAAATTCTAGGAAAAATAGGTACCACAAATTTAAAGAGACCGTACCATGCATTTGAAGGTATTCCCTTTGCCAAACCCCCTGTGAGAAATTTAAGATTTGAAGTATAACATGCTTAAACCTAATAAACAAAATTGTATTTATAGAATTTTAGCCTCCAGAGCCTAACGAGAAATGGGATGAAACTCTTATTGCAAAAACACGCCAAAGTAATTGTATCGAAGGAAGTGGTGATGGATCTGAAGATTGCTTATACTTAAATGTATATACCCCAAATATAACCGGAAAAAACATGTCTGTCATGATTTGGATACATGGAGGAATTTTTATTTATAAAGACAGTTCAGTAGCACAGTTTAATCCAGAGTATTTATTAGATGAAGACGTGATTCTTGTTGATATAAATTATCGTTTGGGAATATTTGGATTTTTAAGTACTGGAGATATGGCTTCCCCAGGAAATAACGGTATTAAGGATCTTATAATGGCTTTAAAATGGGTGCAGAAAAATATTGTACATTTTGGTGGAAATCCAGATAAAATCACACTTTTTGGGCAAAGTGCAGGTTCAGCTTCAGTATCCTATTTGGTTCAAAGTAAACTAGCTAGTGGTAATTATTGATATTTTTAATACACTTATTTCATGTTATTTATTTTTTTAATTAATTTGATACAATGTAGGTTTATTTCATCGTGCCATTATGCAAAGTGGAACTTCTTTGTGCCTTTGGAGCCTTGCAAGAGAAGCAAGAAAAATAGCATTTAATATTGGTACCATTCTTGACATTGTAACACAAAATTCTTCAAAATTAGTAGAGGAATTAAAAAAAGTCGATTCATCAGTTCTTCATTCCAAAACCAAATTTGTTTATAGTGTGGTAAGAGTTTAAAATTTAAACTATTTATTATTATAAAATATAATATAATTCTATTATAATATTATTGTTATGATAATTAAAATTATTATAATAATTATAATAAAAATACAAAATTTAAAAAAGTAAAAAAGACCCCTGACTAACCAATTAGAGCACTGCATTATCTCTAAAATTTGCGACTTTACTTTCTATACAATTTGGTTTCTATCACAATAAATCAATCACAGCACGGCATTCTTCACCGCACACTAGATTGAGAGATATAATGCAGTTCACTGTAATCACTAACTAATATTAATCACTTCTCATAGTTTCAATAGAAAGTATAGTAGCAAATTTCATGATAATATAATATTACTTTTAGGACAAATAAAGTTAAAAATATAATAATTACCATGTTGGTATAAATATAAGAAAAAAATTAAATATTACATCAAGGCGGTTGCAAGATCTTACGGATCGCGATACTAAAAAAACTAAGGAACGATTTAACAATATGGTTTTTCTATTTCGATGCTTAGGAGCATCCTTTTCAGTGCTTCTAGATGCATCAACAGGGGCGTGCTGGGCCGCCGGGACACCGGGAGAAATCCCGGTGGGCCGGTGGTCCGGAGGGGTAAGTGGGCCGGTGTGCGGGCCGGAGGGCTATGTAGGCAGCATGCCGCAGCACGTGGTCAATTAAAAACTTTTTTAGTTGCGTTATGTATAAATATCATAATTATTTTACACATACCATGCATGCCAGCCTGCCAGCTTTGTTTCTTTTTTCAAGATTGTATATTGTTTATAAGTTTCCTGAGCGATGATAATTTATATTAGTTTTTATTTTAAGTGCAATGCTATAATAAGGGTGTCCCTTATTTTTATTTTTTTTACGCATACCCTCTAATTATATTTATTACTTGTTTATATACTCCCAGTAAAAATTTCAGCTCATTCTATAAACGGGAACCCGTGCCGACTTGCATCTGAACCCTCCGTTAGCCAACGTTAGGCGCGCGGTATTTTGTAACACGAAACACTTTAAAAAGAAGATATACTTCATGACTGTATTTTTCTAATGATTTTATTAAATATGATTACTAATTAATATTATTGCTTTTGTTTCTATCATTTGTTTCACTAATTTAGTTGATTTTATCACTTAAATATATTAATATACTAATGAGTATTACTAAAATATACTGTTATAAGAAATTTCAGCTTTTTATAAGAATTTCTATTCTTGATGTCCTCCCAAAAATATTTCAGACAGTTCAATAAGTTTTCGGTAGTCATCTCTCACAATAGACTCTTTTAGTTATTTAGAGTAAAACCCTTTAAGTTTATCAATTTCAGAGTTTACGGCCTATTCACCAGACCCTTCCGGGTAACTAGCCACTCCCTGTGAAAATATACATTTTTATCAAAGTATACACATAAATAAAACTATATTTTAACAAAATGACTTACGATCGAAGACCTCGCGACCAACCGTGTTACAAAATACCGCGCGCCTAACGTTGGCTAACGGAGGGTTCAGATGCAAGTCGGCACGGGTTCCCGTTTATAGAATGAGCTGAAATTTTTACTGAGAGTATATAAACACGTAATAAATATAATTAGAGGGTATGCGTAAAAAAAATAAAAATAAGGGACACCCTATGCTATATGTTTTAGCATTGTGTAAAATATTGTCTGGTTGTGTTTGTTGCCTGTTTTTTTTTCAAGAATTTAATTTATACTTTATATTATTAATTATTAATATATTAATAAATGTTTGAAATTTTTTAACTTGGGTTTGTTCAGCCCCCATTTTTCGTGTGTAGTTGGCCGATTTTTCTGAATTTCCCGGGCCGGTCTGATATAGCCAGCACGCCCCTGTGGATCAATATTAGAGATTTTTATTTTAAACCGTTGGTAACTCTTTTAACCTTCATTTAGAAGAGAACTGTAAATGATGTGTTAAAAACCTTTGTTTCTGGGTTTGTATACTAAAATTATAGGCTTAATTATTATTAAATGTAAATCAAATCATATAAAGTAAATGTAAACAGTGTTGAGCTCTTAAAGCATCGAAATATACATTTCAGTCCTAGTGTTCTCAGCTAAAGAAGTTATCTTTTATAAAACTTGGTTAAATCATTCTTCGTGTAAAAAAGGGGCTGGTATTTTTTATAATGAATTAAAAGTTAAAGTTAACAGTTCTGTAATTGTATAATGACTGACTTTTTCATGCAAGTGTTTAAGTTGTGCACGCGGCCGTCATGCCGAGTATGCGTTAGCCCGAGCTTTCCTCACAAGTGAAATGTAATGCTTTTTTTACGACAAATACAAAGTAATGGTTTTTACCTTAACGACGTACGCAAATGGGTGTGAATAAACAAAGTAAATTGACAGACTTCAATTTTATTTTTACAAAACGTAATGTTAAAATTTGTAAAAAAAAATGGTTTCTAGGTACACCTTATTTTTAAAATTTATTTGTTGCTTTCAAATGAAGTCATTCTTAACAACGAAAGTTTAATTTCGTGTACTAGGTACATAATAGTATATTATGTATCAAGTTTTATAAACGCCATTTTAGTTACGAGTTTTATTAGGCACGAGCGAAGCTTGCGAGCGAGTGTTTAACAAAAACGAGCCTCTAGAGAAGTTTATAAAACGAGTTTCATACTATACTTTATCTACGACGAACAAAAATAAGAATTTAAAGCCAATTTTAATTCATAAATTTTTGACATTTGACGAATTTAACCTCACTTTTTTGCAATTTATAAAGCTAACTTCAGCCCGTAACTAAAATGCCCAAAAGCCACTGTTGTTAACTTCAGCCCGTGACTAAAACGCCATAAAGTCACAGCTTGTCAATGTAGGAGTAGATAAATAATATTTTAATTTGCACTTCAAAATCAACTCCCAAATCAGAATAACTTTATTTAAGTTCGTGATTAAGTCACTTAACTCTATACTTGCACCAAATTTCAACTTTTTTCGTCCAATAAAAATCATCGCTAGTAGCGCCTCCACGTGGCCGTTATCATCGCAACAAAACTTCAACTTTTAATAATCAAACGCGTATGTTACAAACGTGTTTTTAAGAATAAGGCCGGAAAATGTTAAAAATATCGAGAGATAAAAATCATGGAACGATTTGTGGTGTTGTTAAATGTTTTTCGAGAGGAAATTCTGGGTTGAGTTTTTTCGGTTTCCCAATAATTAGTGGAAATCCGAATAAAAAAATAAATTGCATAAAGTCCCTGTAAATATAAATTGTACCTATTAGATACAATAAATACACAAAAATCATAAAACAAATAAGTCATCCAAATTTAACCAGTATTATGCATTATTAAAAGTCTAGATTAAGAAAGTCCCCAATCAACGGTAAACGACCAACAATGAGTAATATATTATGTGTTATATATAATATTATTTTGCCATGATTACCTGGATATATTTTGTCGTTTACTATTTTAAAATGCAGTTGTCGGCGTTTTCTTAAAGGACTTAAATATAAAATGTTTGATTTTAAGGTTAAGTTTGTACAACTATTATTTTTGTGAGATTTCTTAAAATTGTCCAAATTTAAATATAAATTATATTACATAAAATTATTATTAGTTAATTCTGCACGAAGACATATACGTACCAAATTCGATCCTTTGGCAAAACATGAAAATGCAACGATTTAGTTCTTGAGTTATATATTTACAATTAAAAACACAATAATACACACACTAACGTAACTATATGAGCATATAAGCGTTGAGTTTCTGACTCAATATTATAAGAAATAATAAATCGAAATCAAGTACTAAAACAAACTTTTTCAGTTTTTACTTGCAACGCGAAACACAAATAACGTGCGCGATTTAGCTGTACAATTGAAACCTTCTCTTTTGTGAAAAAACTACTTTAAATGTATTGTTGACAATTCTTGAATTGCCACAATGCTATTGAGCGCCACCAGAGGGCGCGCGCGTTGCGAAAGACGGACAGACTTGTGCTGTTGTTTTCATTCCCGTCCCACCCAGAACCCATTTTGTGTGTGGTCATTTAAGTACGCCTCTGTTTTACGTTCCATGACTGTAATGTGTCCGTAACGGTGAAATTGAACTTGGATTGCATCCTGGACGTATGGTCTGAATGCCTCTATGTTTGTCTTTGTCTGTGTCCCCAGGCAGTTTCTGTCGTGTTTTTCTAAACACTTTTGTTGTCTATAATATTATTTATTTATGAAAATCGCGTTTTTATTGGTATAAAAATTATTGTGGTGAATTTACTCATTATTTCTTTGCGTGTACTTATTAAAATGTAATTTTGCCCTTACGTTTTATTTTATTCCGTCTCGTCGGGTGGTACTTTAATTATACCTGATGTTTTTTTTATTCTAGTAGAGTGCGGGATAAGGAGGGAAAACATTTTGGTTTTGAGGGACATAAACTGACCCAAATCCCCCTCAACCAGGGATGTAGTAATAACACCATTCACTTGGGGTTAATGCATGGAGACTTAATTGGTTAATATGCTGCTAGGATCTATCCTTGCTGGTTTTGAAGTAGGTACTTCCTGTTTGTCTGTGTCCTTCTTTCTCTCTGGATCATATTCCAAGCTTGTTGATTATCGATAACGTTGCACCCATATAAACAATACTATTATTAGTAGTATCATTTCTATGTTTGCACCCCACTGTGCGGTTGCGATTTTTTATTTTCACATATAACGTTTGAGGAGTCAGCCACTTCGGTTTGTTACTCAATTTATGGTCCCCTTAATGTCTTAGTAATCTACAGATGTTTAGGATGAGTTTCTTTTGCCTAGTGTTTATCAGAACTTGAGTGATTAATGGCTTCTTATTCGTTAAAACTGATCGTCTCACTCACACCTTTATCCACGGATAAAACACTTGGGAACTTCCAGGAGGAGGTACCACACGCAATTTGCACTCTTTTTGCACTTGGATCTGGTATATCACGTGTATAATAACAACTTTAGTGGTAATGGCACTATGGTACGAGCGCGTTAAGCGAGACCTTACCCACGCGACCGTTCGCCTTAAGGTGCTTTGCGTCACTGGATTTTTTTGGAAGTTTTTTATATTATATAAATTGTAGGGATTTTTATTTTCTACAACTTTTTCTCGTGAGCTTTCATATGTTAAAATTTCCGTGTTTGCATTTTTCAGTTTAAACTATGGAATAAATGGGCTGATAATAATCAAAAAAAGCCTAAAAACAATTAACTAGTTAGTTTCATCGTACATTTTTCATAGAACATTTAATTATTTTAGTACCTCGCTGGGGTTGATGTTCGAAATGGTTTGCCAATTGGACCAGTAGTGGAACCTGATCATGAAGGTGCTGTGTTTACTGGAAAAAGTCACGAAATGCTGTCTCAAGGCGTTTTTAATCGTGTTCCTTTAATAATTGGTCATAATTCGCAAGAAGCTCTTGAAGCATCTGCACTTCCAGGTAAAACAAAAAATAATTTATTTATTTATATCTTATAATAAACATTTTAGGAATTATAAAATTACTGATTGGAAAATTTACGTTATATAAAGGAAACTTTGCTCCTATTGATATGAATATTAATGATTCTGTAAAAGCTATAGATGTCGGGTTACAAATTAGGTACCATTATTTTAAGTATAAGCTAGTAGTTGGAGATAAGAAAGATCTTAGTCAAGTAAATAAAAAGGTCTTATAAAGAGTATTATTTTAAAAGGTTTATATTTTAGTTTATAAGCGATGACCAATTTAACAGACCAATAACAGAAACAGTTAGGCTTCAATCTCAATATGTCCCAGTATACTACTACGTGTTTTCATACCAGAGCAAAATGGGAGAGTCCTTTAAAAGATCACTTCCAGGTTAAAAATGTACATATAATAATATCGTATTATATTTAAGATTAAATTATAGGCGTTGGACATTCCGAAGAGTTAATCTATATTTTTAAAAAAGATGATGCAAATACTACATCGGAAGATATTTTGACAAGAAAACGAGTTATTAAACTTTGGACTAATTTTGCTAAATACGGGTAAGATGTTTACATTTTAAAACTTAAAAAAGGTAGGTAACTATAGTATGGAATAGCATTTAAGTACCAAGCGTTGATTTAGATAGGAGTATTTTTGACCAATTAAATGAAGCTTAAATTTGTGGTTAAATTTACAAAGGCAGAAATTTAAAGATTTCTATCACATAGATACGTTAAATATTTATATTACGTTTGTTACCTACACTAAACATTATCTCACACATTATTTCCATGCTATTCTTAAAATAAATTTGCAAACTGACTAAAAGCATTATAGGATGTATTTAATATTATTACCGCGTTTTCATGTGTAAACCGGTCTCGATTTGCAGCGACATTAACTTGGTTCTAAAATGAAATGTAAAAGTATTATTCCTTAGTTACTCGCACGGTGTACTTAATACACCACGTAAAATATACTTTTATTTCCTTTATTAGACATTTTCTACCTGTACTATACTGAGATCCATTATGATACAAATTTGTTATTAGGATACAGATTTTTAACCAATAGTTCTAAATGAAATATATTTACCAATATAAATCCAATACACGGTAATATTCTGTTAACAAAGCTGGCCAAGTACTGAGTACTTTTACTCGTATTTCAATTACGACTAAAAATGTACGAGTACTTTTTTACTCATAAGTATTTTTCATTTTAAATACTTATTACTCGTACTTACAAACCAAATTCAATGTACTCGTAAAAAATACTCGTGGAATTCACGGGTAACATATACAACTATTTCCGTTTATTATATCGATGACTTTTTGCCAAAATATCGTAAGCATCAAAACATTTTCTTTTGGAAGTCTGTTTTAAATTATATAATATATATTATAATTAGGGATGGGATTTTAGTTATTTTACCTTTTTTCAACCGATGTAACTATTTGAAAACCAATAATGCCAAAATGTGTTTTAAAAGATTTTCTTTTATATGAACCTAACTTGTTTTCACCCTTTTTACCTTTTTTGGGGGTTTTTGCTTTAAACTACCTTTTTTATACTTTTGTTACCTATTTTTTTAACTTGTTTTCACCTTCTTTACCTTTTTTGGAGGTTTTTGCTTTAAACTACCTTTTTATACTTTTGTTACATATTTTTAATTTGTCAGTTTATTTTCACATATTTTATTTTTTTATGTTCTTTTTAAATTTTCCGCCAATATTTTATCCAGGGCGTGCAACTCAACGGTATATAATTTTTTCTTATGGTCACAGACTGTAACAGTAACTTTCTTTACAGTTACCTTCTATGTAGTGAGCTTATGTTCTGTTATAGAACTTCTGTGTACTGAGTGTCACTCAGTGAAACACAGTTTATTGCATAGAAATAGTTTATTGTGGGTATGTTCTGTGTTTGGGTATGTGACTAAACAAAATTATAAACGAAACTTGAACTTTTAATGTTTTTTTTACCTAAAATGCTGTTTTTTTAACTTAAATGCTTTTTTTAGTACCTTTTTAGTTACCTATTTTTTAGTTTTTAGTACCTAAATATCCCATCTTTAATTATAATATAATACATTATAGCCTATAGGTTTTATAACAAGTATAATATACATACATAATTATACAGTGTGACTTATTTGTTTGCGACTCACCCCTGTAAAATCTTTATTTATTGTGCGATTTTAACCAGATTTGTTTTGAAGTGTAGATCTGGATAAACTTTATTTTTGAAGCAAAAAACGCAATATTTGTACAAAATACAAGTCCTCTTATGTCAGTTTTTAAGAGTAAATTTTTAAGAATTAATATTAGCTATTTTTTTAAACAAAATCTAAGCACGGCACTGATTTAACCACTCCTTAAAACGACCCTTTACCAAATTTGATTGAAAAATTTTAAGTAGAAAAATGCACAATAATAACTACAAAAATTTATTTTGTGAAGTAATCCATGAAAAAAAACATTGAAATAAAATTAAATTTATAGTAATAGTACCATGTCACTATTAATTTAATTTTATTTCAATGTTTTTTTTTCATGGATAACTTGATAGAATAAATTTTTTTAGTTATTATTGTGCATTTTTCTACTTAAAATTTTTCAATAAAATTTAGTAAAGGGTCGTTTTGAGGGGTTTTGAATACAGTGCCATGCTTAGATTTTGTTTGAAAAAAATCGCTAATATGAATTCTTAAAAATTTACTCTTAAAAACTGACACAGTAGGCCTTGTATTTTGTAAAAATATGGCGTTTTTTGCTCCACAAATACAGTTTATCAAGATCTACACTTTAAAACAAATCCGGTTAAAATTGCAAAATAAATAAAGATTTTACAGGGGTGAGTCCCAAACAAATGGGTCACACTGTAGGTAAAATTATGAACTATTTAAGAATAATTTATTATTTATTATTTTATGTACAGGGTGATCCCCTATAATGTCGCCCCCCTATAATTTTTTTATTTTAAGTGTACCAAAAAATTTAAAAATGTGGTTATATAGGTACTAAAAAATAGTTTTTTTCGATTCCTTGTAAAATTCAACCATTTTTGAAATATTCGCATTTGAAACGTTTCAAATGCGAATATTTAAGAAACGGTTGAAATATTAGGTATATGATATGTTATATGATTTATGCTTAGAATTAGAATCGAAAAATAAATTTATATATAGGGTGATCCATTGAGAAAAAAATAATTTTTTGTTTTTTCCTGTTTACTGATGAATTTCCCAATTTTTCTTTTAAGTGGAAAAAAAGTATTTTTTAGTACCTACATAACCACACTTTTAATTTTTTTGGGACACTAAACATAAAAAAGTTATAGGGGATCATTCTGTACCTAATGTATAAATTAAATAATTTTATAAATTTCTATTTCTATTTTTATAGCTCAGGACCAAGTATGTATAATGTATAAAGAATAATAATATGTATAATGTATAAAGAATAATCAATTGTATTAACTAACATTTTTTTTAAAGTACTCGTACTCTTTACTCGTGTTTTCACGATTACTACTCGTAACCGTAACCTTTCTTTACAAATGTACTTACGAGTAAATATTTTAAGAACTCGTACTTAAAATTTTACGAATACTTTTTTTAGTACTCGTGCCCAGCTCTGTCTGTTAATATAAACTATTGTCTTGAACATCTGATATTTAACAATTTTGACAAGTTACATAGAACATTTTTTAACTTCAAATTTTTTGAACTTAAAATTAGTGAACATGTGCGATATTGAATGTAAAACTGAAAATTTAACCCCGCCCGAAATTGTGATAGGCCTCAAACAATTTATTACTCCTAAAATAAGCAAAAAGGTACGAAAAATTTTAGAATTACTGTTAATTTTATACTTTATGGTAGTCGTAGAAAAATAGTGCAAAATTGTGCATTTATTGGGCTATTAAGACACTCGCACTCATTATGACATTCGCGGCTTATGTCTAAATAGTCATCATTAAATGGTCGTTATACTATACTACATAATATACTATTTTGATCATAATATTCCTATATTAAATAAGAATAATAATGCTCTTGTTATTTGCAAAAAAAGTGTAGTCAGTTATGTTAGATCTAAAAATTTTAATAAATATATTATACTTTTAATTTCTTTTTTTAAGCATATAATAATGTAACGTTTTTACTGTTCGTAGTGTGAATAAAAACACGCACTGGTTAATTAACGAACTAAACTATTTATTTAATAACTTCACTAGACTTAAAACACTATAAAACTAACTAAACACTTAACTACTAATTATTTATATCACTACTAGTTTATTTATTTGCACTTATATTTATTTATTTCTTCGCGAGTACCAAAGCTCAACTGACTGCTCTGTGCTGCTCTGTTTCTTATATATTCAGCGCCCAAGTCTTCTGGAACATTCCAGCGAGCTCCACACTCTCGATTGTTCGAGCGCTGACTCATCGCCGATGAGTCATCATCTCGATACCCAGAGCCGTACTCGCTACATTGCCCCCGTCTTAAAACATTTTCGTCCCGAAAATGGTCCTCAGTTCCATGGCGATATTTGCATAGAGATCCAAACTTGCATTGTGACGTCCTATAGAAGTAGCAGTCTACGGTCTTCCTTCCGGTTGTTCTTTTAGGGTTGTGGCAACAGACAAGAATGTGAAGAATGTGTATGCCACTAAATCTGAAGATAACTTTCACCATACTTCTAATTATTCTCCAGTCTAAACCGTCAAGTCCACAAGCAATCTTCGGTATCGCCAGGTTCATGATGTCCTTGGATAAAAGGATATCCCTCAATTTATTTAAGGCATTCCATACGTCACGGTAGTTTGGCTTCTGATGGGAGAGCTGCTTTGTTACCAGATAGAAGATACTTCTGTTGCCTGTCTGCTCATTATTCACAATTTCAAGCACCTCTCCAACTTTGGGATTCTGCCTTCGTAGCTCGTCGACCCGTCCAAACTTGTTTTTAAAAACATTCTTTTTTCCCCTGGACATCCTTAGGTCTTCTGCAACACAGTGAGCCAAGGAGTAATCGGCCGAAACCGTGAACAGATCTTGTTGTTCTTCTCGAGTGACACCATAGCGAGCTTTTTTACCGCTCGAATATAAATAGGTACATGAAGTCTTCAAAAAACTCGTCTTACTCTAGCATGGTTTATTTGGTCATCATTGTTTCCAGCGTAAGGAGCCAATCGGTTAAAATGGATCACTTTCGGCTTTCCTCTTGGTTGTTTTCTGATCCTGTAGATGATGTCATTTATGCGATCCATGACTTCGTATGGTCCTTCCCAAGAAGTCTGCAGCTTCGGTGAATAACCACGACGGCGCTGAGGGTTGTATAACCAAACTAGGTCTCCAGGTTGAAATCCTCCATTTTCCGCCTTGATGTCGTTCATTATATCACTGGCACTCTGGATGTTTAAACGAACTCGGCTGTGAATGTCGCTCATTTTCCTACGTAAATTGTTGACGTAATCTTCTCCAGCAATATCATCCCCTGGTAGGCAACCAAACCTCAGGTCACAAGGTAGACGAAGTTCACGTCCCATAAC